CGAGTTTTATAATAGGTAAGTAATGTGGAACAATGTTCAAATACCGTAAAGTATTGAACTAAAATCAATAATGAAAAAATGAAATGAAATCAATAATAAAAAAAAATATATATATATACTTATATAATACCCAGGGTGCTTTGCGACACATATTAAGTAAATTTGTTGAACTTCTTCTTAACGTGTTTTTAAAATAAGTTTCTTTTCAAAGTCGGTAGGACTATAACCATAAATTTGACATCCCTTTTGACTGAAAGTAAAGTTTGTAACCTTTTAGATCGCATATTTTAAAATATTCTTTTCGTTTTTATGAATCTTTAAATAAGATTCATCGATAATATATTAGTTTAGACTGTACCGCTGTTTTTAAAAGTTCAATGTTATGCCCCGAAGAAATATTTTATTTTTCACCAGACCTATCTATTCTTTACACGTCTCTAAAACTGTATTAATTTTTTGGCGTCTAAACCATTGATGCAATGAGTTTTGTGCCTAAACTGTGACCAGTTTGCCAAGAAATGGGCGTCGTAAAACTTGAGGCACTTTCTTCGGACTGCAGGATTTTCGATCGGGTTCACAGATTTTACAAAACGAACCTTTTTCGTAATGCCATGGCAAGCCGCATGCTCACTCTAAAAAACCTCAGCAATGTCCACGCTATTTTTTTATAGTAGCTTAGTATAGCTTACTTTGCATTACTCTGAATTAGTCGTCCATAGTTTTTATTGGGCATTTTAAAATGGAAATGGTTTAAAAGGCCATTTAATCGTTTGTGCATATTTTGCATATTTTGCTGTAAATGCATGATTTTGCATTTGGCAAAAATACCTATTTTTGCTTTTTAATTGCGCATCTTTTAGTGTATTTTACAAAAAAAAAAAAAAAAAAAAAAAAATTACCCATAATTTTTTCCAAATATCTTCTCGGATAGCCAAGCAGCCTTTAAGGCACTTCCTTGTACCTCTGTTAGATCTCAAACAGTGGAGGACTGGGAGAGAGCTAGTCTATATCTGTGATCAATACGAAATTACCCTAATACGGGTCCCGGGACATAGAGACAATTACGAAAACGATTCAGCGGACGAACTAGCAAGGTGCGGATCCGCACTGAATGTGTCCCATGCAAAAATTACCGAAATTTATCACTTGAAGGCCAAGCAGAGGTGGAATCGTACTGGATCGTACAGAATTACCCGGCTGTTCTTGGTGTCCTACGACCCACTTAAAAAGCAAAGTTCTCTTAGGAATGAGCAAAGAAGATACCTACAAACTTACTGCCGAAAGTAGTGAAAACATATTGTCAAATGGGATTAAAAAGCGGTTTATCGATTGATTTGAATCAGGATAGGTCTTTAGTCGGCTACATGGGCTGCGAAATCGGTTATCTGTCAGTTTTTGGTCCATAATATCATCGGAAAAGGTATGGATAAAAAAGATAAAGTTGTCTCAAAATATGTCGCCAAATTTTGATTTCAAAATATGACAGTGAAAACCAGTCGTAATGCGCACTAAAATTCATTAAAGCCGCCAAATGGTTGTGGTTGCTTGTCACCAGGGTGACGATCCCATTAAGCCAACCAAACATTCATCGGAACAACTATTAAGCTGTCAATGTTTCTATTTTCACACGATTGCAGCAATCTGCTTGATTATAAACTAATTTTATACATATGTGACACGTAAAGTTAAAAGGGACCAACGCTCAGAAAAAAAGGTTTCGAGAAAAACGACTTTAAAGTTTACCAAGTTGATTTTGATACTTCTGAGCGTTTTAATGGATTGAAACTTGTTACTCGGGGGTTTTCGGGGTCGCTGATTACGAATCCGATGTTAATTTTCTAAAATTCAAAATGGTGGATCCAATATGGCGGATGACTTTTTTAAAAATTGATCGGAATCGCTTGAAACTCGTTACTCGGGGGTTTTCGGGGTCGCTGATTACGAATCCGATGTTAATTTTCTAAAATTCAAAATGGTGGATCCAATATGGCGGATGACTTTTTTAAAAATTGATCGGAATCGCTTGAAACTCGTTACTCGGGGGTTTTCGGGGTCGCTGATTACGAATCCGATGTTCGTTTTTAAAAATTCAAAATGGCGGATCCAATATGGCGGAAAATTTTAAAATTTGTTCGGATTCATGTGAAACACAAAAATGTCGTTGACACGGAATTTTGAAAAACTAACATCGGATTCACAATCAGCGACCCCAAAACCCCCGAGTAACCNAAATTTGTTCGGATTCATGTGAAACACAAAAATGTCGTTGACACGGAATTTTGAAAAACTAACATCGGATTCACAATCAGCGACCCCAAAACCCCCGAGTAACCAGTTTCAAGCGAATTTAATTAATTTCAGAATAGTTTGTCAGATTTGATTTTTTTGTACTTTTTTTTGAAAGTACCTAACTTTGAAGTGAAATTGTGAAAAAACTAATGCAGCTAGAAAGCTGCGGATTATTGCATTGGAAAGGGCGGCCCGTTTACTATATGAGTCGATGAAAAAGTGAAAACCGATTTTTTCTGACCGTAGGTCCCTTTTAACTTTACGTGTCACATATGTTAATACATATGTACGTATATATGTATTGTATTTTCAAGTGAATTGTTTTCGTTATTTTCTTGTTATAATACATGTGTTTTTTATTTTTGTATCCGCAAAAAATGTTAGGCAAATATTTTTAATCGCATATTTTACTCGTTTATAGGGCATATTTTTGTATTTTTAGTGCATATTATATGCGCATATTTTTGTATTTTGACTGCATGACATTCCGAGCCCTACATATAACAATTATTATTTTTTCAACAGGCATATAGTTAAAGGAAACTTATTCGCACCAGTTGTTGACGCATTCATTAGAAACAATGGCAGATATAATTTACTCGAATCGGCTATATTAGAACTTTTTGAGTTCGTGAAACTTGAAGACATCAAAACACTTTGCGTCTACTTCGTGGAGAATTTCAGCAAAATATTTGATGAAATCGAATATGTGCAAACATTTAAATATCTCAAAAATCGGTACGACCAGTATCAAGACCGAATAAAGGATCGCGACAAGATGTCGCTGGATACGTAAGTGGTCATATTTTAAATAAAAGTCTACATTTGATCATTCAAGCATACTAACGTACGTTGTTTTTTTGTTATACGTAAATAATGTAGCGGCATACCAATTATACGTAGTCGCTTCCGCCGAGATCCGCGACAAATGGACGACGAAGAGGAAATGTGGTTTAATGAGGAGGAAGATTTCGCCGACGAATATGATACCTACAACAGCGTTATGAAATGTAAGTTTTCTAGTCCCTACATTTTTCTAACTTTCTTCTCCCATTTTGAACATATTTCTTTGGCATTTGCAGCCGTCACCGAAAAGAATGGCCCTTCACAATCTCCGTCGCAGCAGCAATCATCGATTCAACAAAAGTCGCCACCTCAAGGCGGTCTGCTCGGCAGCAGTAGCAGCGTGAATAGTTTAAGCTCCACAACGACCACTTCAACGACATTGACACCGGCTGTGGGAGTTAGTGGCATCGGTGGGGTCTCATCCATCAGCGGTGTGAGTCTCAGTGATGTGGTTTCAAATGCGTCCAATAGCGGTAGTAGCATTGACCATTCACAGTCTGCCGCTGCTGCTACACAGGCGCATCTAGGCGCAGCTGCTGTGGCTGCCAATATAGCGCTCCACCACCAACAGCAAACGGCACTACACAATTTCCAGCAACAGCAACAACAGCTAAATCTAAATAGCACATTGGTCGCAGCAGCAGCGGCTGCTGCGGCTGGTGTAGCTAGCACATCGGCAGCTAGTGCCGCGCATTTAGAAGCGCAGAACCAACATCATCACCAGCATCAGCATGCAGAGCGTTCGCACGAAGATCCCGATATTGTAGAACTGCGGCAGCATTTGGTTTCCATTGTACCACAACATCAAGAATTGGCATTGGCCGGTGCCGCCACTTCATCATCAACTGCCGTCACAGCATCACCATCGTCAGCGGTTACAGCTCTGCAATCGCAATCGTTGTCATCAGCATCGATAGCGGCACCATCCACATCGACCGCTTTGTCAGAGTCGGCGGCTGCCGCTGCAGCAGCTGCTTCACAGCTACTAACATCGATTGCATCGAGTGATGCCGTCGCTGCGGTGGCAGCCGCTGCAGCGGCAGCTGTGGCGGCCACGGTAACTGGTGTGACACCTAATATGGCTGGTGCTGGTGGTGGAGGAGTAGTAACTGCGGCGAATTTGGCAGCAGCCGCCAATGCCGCGGACACTTTGGCGCTAAATGTTGTGAAGCACAACGATAGCGTCGATAATATGGGCAGCGGCAACGGCAAAGAAGGAGCTATTTCGACCGTCGTCACTGGGGAGAGTATTTTGAAAAAGGTAGGCGAGAAATATAATAAACTACAGTATCCAAATATTTGGCGCCGACATTTTTGTTAAGTGCTTGGCCAAGCTTCTCCTCCAAAGTGGTTTTGTGCGTCTTGATCTTGTTCCACAAATGGAGGGACCTAAAGTTTTTCGCCGCTTCAAACCGGCGGATGGTTTTTTTTATGGGAAACTTTTCTTTCCGAGGCGCCGAGAGGCGACAGCTATTATGGAAAAAACCGTTTCTATTTTTAGATGTTCCTCGGACCAGGTATCGAACCTTGGTCTTACCGAGCTAGAAGTAGCACCGCTAACCACTAAATTCTCACGACAGTCTGGTCTACGTAACTGGAGCGACCCAGATTTATATTTGGACAAGCACTGTCACTTCAGCATCGTTCCCCCAAAAGCTATTTGGGGAACTTGTATGTTGTTACAATAAAACACACCTATAAATACTCGGCTACGGCGGCCACGGTATTCCAAATAGCATAGCTATTAAAGTCATTGGGGGGTCACATAACTTATGTGCGGTATTAAGCTGTAAATCAGAATTCGACTTGCATCAAAAAGTCAGATAGAGAATCGCAGTCTTTCGCATTAAATAATCTCTGGTATATCGATATTTGCTTAATTTACAGGGTCTTGTCGACTATGAAAGTGACTCTGGTGATGAGGACGACTACGAAGAAGAAGAAGAGGAAGAGTCGCCGCATCAGAAGAAGCCACGTATGGCATAGCAAAATTACGCTACTAATGCATGCAGCCGCAGCCGCGGCGGCAGCAGCAGCAGCGGCCGCAGCGGCTGCAGAATCAATTATTAAAACATTCGCAACAATGTCTTCAACACATTACAACAACAATTTGTAAAAGAAATAGCCATAAATAAACTTGCAGTAGCCAGTGTCGTGCCGTGCAGACTCGTACACACCAGCAGCTGCAACAACAACAAAAACAATTACAACCATAGGTGTAACAGAAATACAAGTAAACATGATCAAATAATTATCGATAACAACCAACTGCAGTCTGCCATTGTAACAAAAACAAGTAGCAACAGCAAGTTACAGAAGAATGCGAACGTAAGAAATTGTATGGATTATTTTTTTTTTGGTGTTGATTGTTAATACGGACACTGCTGATGGATGGACGACAGACAAAATTATAACAAACTAAACATGCATACATAAATAATTATACATAAATACATACTACATACAAGTATATAACGCGTAATCTACTAGAAAATAAATAAAATGAAATTAAATTCGCAAAATACTAATTAAATAAATTTTGTCGAATTATAAATGCATCATATACATAAATATTGTATGAGTGAGAAACGGAGTTGAGGAAATGTTGGAGTGCATACAAATCTTATTAAGAGAAACACATCAAATTAATAAAATGCAAATAAGTGGGCAATCGAAAAATGAAAGAAAACACACTTCATACATATATTTACTTTATACATTAACAAAGTGTAATAGTAAATAAAAATTGTCGTCTTCGTCGTTGCCGTTGCAAATGCTAAATTTAATTTAAAGAAGGCAACGAAATTATTTTCAAAAAACTAAAACTAAAATAAATACAAAAAATAAAAATAACAAAAAACAAACGCCACGGTATTAAATCATTATGTGCCTGTGATGAGAATTGAAATCGCTATTGCTTAAACATCTTCGTAAAAGCCTAATTGCAGTGAGTTATTTGAAATTTAAAATCAGCTTAATAGAGGAATATACTACGCGGAAAACCTTTTTATTTCGCAACCAGCTATCATCCATATGCGTGAATTTCTTTCTCTATAAAACATGTGATTTGCTATTACAACGCGCATGATGAGCTTTTGCAAGAGGCGTTTGCAGATTTACGGGCGTAATTAAAACTTTTAAGCAATAGCGAAATTAAAAATCTCGGCACAGTTCGCGCATCAATTTGAATATAAATAAACGGACTAATTTAAAGTCGAAGGGAATGAGTTGTAAATGTAATACATTTGGTGAAACATGGCACTACTAGTGTTGCTAGTGTATAGGTATATGAGTAAAATAGGAAAAATTTTGTGCACAAAATTCTTGCATTTTAAAGCAAAGAAGTAATTGAATAGCGCCTGTAAACTGAGGTTAGTTTTTGTGTGGAAGATCAAAAATAGTTAAAATTTTTCCCGAGTGCCACTACGCTTTAGTAGACCACTTCAGTGTGCCAATTATGCCCAGGCCTTCAGAACTGGCACCCGCATACGCACACGCCGCCACGATCACATACATATTCACAATGAACCGAGTTTTAGAGAAGCATTTTTTCAAATAAATTTGTATGAATAATACAATGCAACAATAATTATAGCATACACCCTAATATATATATACATGCTGCATTACAAATCATAAATCGTGAATACATAACAGTAGAAATTCTAAAATTTAAAATTCATAAAAAAACTACTTCCAATGGAATGGGCAGATTTTGTAATGAATAATATCTAAATTTTAGTATTTGTAAATGAGTGTTTTGCGATTGATTAACACACGCATATTCATGTGAATAACCAGAAAAACACAAATACACAACTATTTATGTACATGTTTTAATGCAAGTGGTGTTTAGAATATACATACATATACGCACATGATAATTATAGGAAAAAGTCTAAGTATACAAATACAAGCCATTTCCCTCTTATGCTACACATGTATGCGCTGTCCACTGTCACAGCTGTTGTTTTCGGTAGTATTTAAACACAAAAACCATATAAAATTCACTTACAACATTTAAAAAATAATTGAGTGGTTTTCTATCTGTTTTTGTTACTTTGATAATTTATTTGCTTTCACTTTAGTTGCTCACATTAATGTTTACAATGTATTTTCAATGTCATCAGTTTTTGTTAAAACAACATTTGAATTATTTAGTTAAAACAAACTTCCATTAAAATGTTCTTGTAAACTCGAAACATAAAACTTGCTTCACTGCGAATTTGTGTCGTAATCTTTTCGGTCAGGCATAGGCGGAATGAGTGCCTTATTTATAGAAAATAAAACTATTCATAAAGAATGTCAAATATGTTTTATTTATTATAAATAAGGGTTTTTTCGAATAAATTAAAGTGCTGCGGGTGATAAAAACGTGTGAGACTAATTTGTATAAGCAAAGAACAAATAAACGCGTGAAATTACTTTAAAATTCCCTATTGCTAAGAAAACAACTTTGCACCCAAATAAAACTAAATGGAAACAATCGATTCTATATCATATTCACAGCACAGAAAATTAGGTGAAAGTTATTTTATTGAGAAATAAATAAAAAATAAATTTCAACAACGACTCATTCATTCCAACTCATTCCCTTTGTGCGTGTTTAAAGTTTTTTTTTTTGTTTTTTGATCTTCACCCCAACTTCAATAACTCGTTCAACATTCTCCAATAGAGTTAAATTTTGCCGGTTAAATTTGAGTTTTGCGCTTTAGTAAACAAAAATTAAAAAAAAAACTTAAAAAGGAAAATTAGACATAAGAATAATCATTAAATTGTATGTATGTTTTCACTAGTTTTGTTGTAATATAAACACATATAATTTAGTTAATAAACTAAAATACGTTTAGGGTGTCATACATAAGCACATTATGTATTATACGAATAAAATAATAACAAAAATGCTATCTATATAAAATATACATTATTCTTTATAGAAACCATAAATACACATACACACCACTCCCACTTGTGCAGAGAAAATCAAATCCTAACATGGCTCCATAAACTTAAAACAAACATAAACAAATTAATATGTAAGGAGATTGTTAAGACATCGCGAACAAAAGTATCATGAAAGCATGTCCATTTAGTTCCAAATACACACATACATACATACATATGTACATATCGTTCATTTACTAAAAGACTGTCACAACTCAAAAAACGGAAGTTTTCAGTAGATGCGTTTGAAGTTTTCAATTTACTAATAAAATGCTGAAAATGCAGATGCATATTCCCTTCACACGCGAGGAGTAAGTAGCTCTGCTGTGACAGCCTTTTAGTAAATGAGCGATATGACATTAACCGCTTACTATAAATATTAAATATTTTTTGTTTGTCAGTTAATAATTATAATTGTGTTTTGTCTGTCGTATGCGTCCACCACCAAGCTCTTCTTATTTTACATTTCTATTTAATTTTTTGTCCTTTTTTGATTTCCTTTCGCTGTTTTCTTAACCTTCAAAAATCAGTCGGTGTTTTGGTTACAGAAGAGGCCTTAACTTTTCTGCCACTAAATCAGTGCAGTGCATTGCCACTTCTTTTCTTGCACTCAAGCGCCAATCCTTTCCTAAACGCTCATACGCTGAACACACAGTGGACGTTGAATAACTCGCATACACACACACACACACACACACACACATAATCGCACATGCACACTGCTATATACACAAACAGAGAAAAACATTTTGCTTTGCAATAAAATAAAAAGAAATGGTGTAAACCTCGTAAGTTTTGTGTTAAAAAAAAAGAATAAGCAACACGTAAATAACAAATTGATTATAAGAAAACAACAACAATGAACAAGTTAATAACAGCAACAAGTATGCGAAGTTGTTATTGCAATACATCAGAAACACAAACGAAAGTTATATTAGTTATTCTTAATCGTAAACAATGGATGGATGAAAATTTAATTTTTATTACTTACCATATAATTAAACTACTATTATAGTTATAAAAAAATATCACTATCACTATCGCTATTATGATTAATTATGCAAATAAATTTATTAAGTTATGTGAGTTTTATATACAAATACGTATATTATACATATGTATGCAACTACATACATAGTTGCGCACAGCCCTCTGCTCTACTAAACCAAAACTCCCCTCCGCACCGAACTTGTATGTATACACGTTTCCAAATACAAATTTCTTTCTTCATTTCATATTAATGTATATCTGAATTTCTCTTTTTTCAAACTGTCTCTTTTGTTTATTGCATTTAATCCCATACATTTGATTATCTATCTAACTTCCAACTTAAGAAGAAAGAAGTAATTAGCACTTGGCATATGTTTCTTTTTTACGCACTTCGTTTGATTGTATTTACCTAAATATTGTAGATTTCTGTAACGCAAATGTTTCACAGCCAGGAGTAAAAACGAAACAAATATAACAAAAACACGAAAAATTAAGCGTAAATGAATCAGCAGATCAAATGCAAGATAAAAACTTTGTATTTTAAAGTTTTATTTACGTCTCCATATATAAATATATATATATATATGTAAAACTAAATTTATAAAGTGGAAAGAAGAAAAAGTAATAAATTAAATAATAGTTTTTAATAGTTTTTAAACAAAAACAAGGAGTTTTCTATTGCAAGATATTACACTTATATGTGAGTTTGTATGTATTATGTTAATTGCAAATGTAAGTATGTAAATGAGTTGTAAGCCAATAGGTTTGCCCGCATGGACTGTACCTTAGTTAGATCCAAAGCTTTCATTGCACAAATTTCAGAAAGTGGATAAACGATATTTCTCCTGAATTTCCCCTACGCGCGATTCGTTTGCCGGAAAGCCGTGGAGGCGAACTATATCGTCGTTTAAAGTTTTTTGGCAAAAAATGTCAGTTACGCGGTTTTACAGAACGACGATATCTATGTGTATGCTGTTAGGCAGGATAATATAGTCTTTTTATACAGAACTAATGCTTCTGTTTCGTATGCAGTTTTGCTTTGCTTTAAGCAGGCAAAATGTATTCAAAGTTTTCCGAAATACTTGAAGAAAATCGTTTAAGAAGTTTTTTCCTCCTGTAAAATTGGTAAAAATGGACTTGGCAACATTTAACTCGTAAGCTAGCGATATGTACAAGCGTATAGATTTATACCTGGCCGAGGACTGTCACTTCAGTATCATTCCCCAAAAACTCTTTGGAGAATTTACATGCTGTTACGCCCGCAAATACAGATGACCGCGGAAATAAGTTTACACGTTTTTCTTCGCCGTCAATTTTGTAAGAGTCTTTCAACTTCTTAACCGACTTCATAAAAAGGAGAAAGTTATCAGTTCATCGGAATATATGTATATTTCTTAACCGACTTCCAAAAAAGGAGGAGGTTATCAGTTCGTCGGAATATTTTTTTTAATGTAGATATGTTACCGCATAACTTTGTGCCACGCTAACCGATTTTAAAGGAAAGGTGTTACCTCACAGGTGGTCCCATAGTAATTTGGTTTAAATCCGACCACTGGATCATTGAAGAAATGACCGATAATCTTAAATTTTTATTAGAGAAATGAAGTCGGTTTGGTTTTTGCTTAAAAATTACTTGTTTTACGTATATATATGTATTTAAAAAAGATCTTGGCGGTCCCTGTAAAACTTCAAAGACAAAAAATGTGGGCTCAGTCGTTAAATGTAATGGAACTTTGGTTAATTTTTGTTTCCTGCTTTCCTCTCTCAGAAATCAAAGGTTATACTATAAAATGACTTAGGTGTAAATACTCGATTTTTTCCCAATGTTTGGTGAGATTTTTTCATTGTTCGAAAAATTCCTTTTGCGAAATTATGCAAAAAGAGGCCGAAAATCAAAAATTAATAAAATTAAAAATTACATATATCTGCAAAGTCGCGCGCAAAGATCAAATTATATATTCTAAAGCTACATAAAATTCTCTAAAACATTCGTTTAATTTCAAGAGCGGACTTTTTTTGACTAATAATCTTTAGCATCTACATTTCAAGGTAAATTTTTTGGTAAGAAAATAGGAAAGTACCAAAAAGTATAAATTACCAAGATATTCAAATAATTGATTCCAGTTGAAAAAGAAACATTTTCTTTAATAGGTTAATCGCCAAAGGCCACTTAACTGATTACCCGGTATCGCGCCGATTCCCGTATTTCTTTGGATATGTATTGTTCGTGAAGAAGCGAGGTGAGTAAATAATGTGAAATGTGGTATTTGTGACTTTTACTTTTCCCTCTCTAAGTCCAACCGATCAACCAGTTTTTCTATCTGCCTCCATATGGTCGAAACACTGTGCGCCGTAAGTGTTAATTTTGCGATATGGAACATGTAATTTGTAGCCTTTAACAAGATTTATGGTATCCTGCCCATTCCAATACATAACTATGTACATACATATGCATGTACAAAGGCGTTCGTGTACAGTAGGACTTGGATAGGTTACACCTCGAAACTCAGAAAACTTATATAAAAACTTATAATTGAAATAAAATTTCGGTTTTTCAAATATGAAGGCTTCATAACTGTTATAGATCGAAACAGGCGATAATTCGAAATTACTTCTTTCCGTTTCTCGTAATTAAGAGGCAGAAAGGGTATTATAAGAGGTTATAGCAGCGAAACGATTTTTTTCGAAAAAAAAACTTCATATTACAAACCAGTTGGCTCTTAATTTTTCGAGCTATGCACGTTTTACTGTATACAAAGGTATACAAATGGTTGTCCCGACAACACCTTGCTAAAAAGCCTAGGACACAACAAATGTAATTTCCGTCGCAATGGTGCTTTAGTGAAAAATCAGTCATTCGATTTGAGTTGCAGCTCAAATTAGTTGACCTAAGGACGTTACGCAAAAAAAAATTAAAAATTTTTTGCAAAAATTCCAACATGACTGAAGACTCGTGGGTGTTAGATTCGCTGGTGTGCTTTCTACATGGACCTGTTTGGAATGCGCCACTTCAGACGTTCATCGAGGAGAAATCATTAGGTATTTTGTGCGGTTTTCAGTAATTTAGAAGATTCTGACTGCAAGCCTTTCTTGCATACTTTTCGGCGGCGCAGTTTTCGATCCCAATATGCAAATTGATGAGAATAATTCCGACATTGTGGCCATACATAATGAGTACAAGAATCTAGTAGACTACATGCTGGGCAGCTTTATGGAAGAAATGCAAATTACACCGGAGCAATTTGAGACGGCTTGCATGGAAGGCCGAAACCCGGACAATCATTTGCACTTTCACCAGGGTCTTTTTCAGCAGGTGTATGCGTTATTTTGACACTTACATGCTTACATGCATACTAACTTTATCTGGGTCTTTTTGAACCGTTCTCGCATTGCAGATTTGGGCAGCCAATGATATAAAAATGTTTATACGCATGATGACTCAACGGAATGTGGAGCTACAACTGCAGGCGTTGGATTTGATTGAGAAAA